ATATATTTTTGATATATTCATTGAAAGAACGATTCATTAATTTAAGAAAAACTAAACACTAAACTTAACACTAAAGAAAATCTTGCATTCATTTTATCCTTGAAACTTTGCTTAATTTGTTTTTTATTTATATTCTTATAATTATTCATATATTAAATTATCATTAGTTGTGATATTGCATCCAAAAACGCATGGAACATCAGTCAATACTTTAATTAAATATTATTTATTTTTCACCCGATTTTAACTAGTTATGAACTCTTATTATTGAAACACATCACTAGCAGAAATAATTCATTTAAATATTGGTATTACAATAATTAACTTTCTCTAGGTAAGTTATAGTAATCACGAAAAAATCGAAAATGAACATTTTTATATATTTTTACGTTTTAAAGGTTTTTGAACATTTTGGCATACCTTAGAAAAAATGAATGTGTGTGTGTGCGTGCGGATACTAATTTTAGTTGACGATTTCGGGAACACCGATCAACCGATTTGATTGAATTAATAAAACATTCGATTCATATTGATAAGAAGACGTACTGATTAGTTTTTGTCGAAGGCAGGTCTAGCCGTTCCGAAGATACAGGGCAAAAAGTGTCAAAAACGGTAACTCAGTTTTTAAGAGAACGGAGCGTCCGATTTTAAAATAATTTAAAAAACATTTTACTTGTCTTAACAAGATGAAGAACTGATTAAATTCTAAATTTAACTAAGTAAATCGATTGACGAAAGTAAAAAAAAAATGCTATTTGGTGGTCAAAAATTATCATTAGACATATGCACATCAAATTATCAGATATTTTTATAGAGATTTTAATAATAAGTACAAATTACTCGCTTCGATAGTTCGTCCTTAAAACAGCTACGCAGCGCGATTGTTTTTAAGAAAATTCAAAATTTTCAAAAAAAATTCAGAATATACAAAAAATTTAAATTCAAAGTTTTAAAAAATTTAATTTTTGGTACGGCAGGGTTTAGAAGATGGAACTTGTATTTGGAAGTGAATTGAGCTATTAAGCTCTCTAATTATTAAGCCACTGGAATCTCAAATGTCGATAAAAATTTAATTAATATGAACATAAATAAATTTGCCGTTGTTGTTCCGTATTTCATTGTTGACCACGCTAAATTTCAATATGTAAGTGATAATGAACTTGAACTAATTAAAGCCGGTCCTTCATTACCGTGTATTGATTGTGGACATCAAACACTGTGTTGTGTACCTCCTCTCGGACAGTCTATAGTTCTAAATTTAGACGAGTATCCCCGGAAGCAATTAAAGCATATATTGCACTCGCAAATTGTTTGACCGCATTGCATTGTTTCACATTGTGTTTGTTTATGTGTCGCCAAAGGGCGCCGTTTATTTATTTGTTCAGTTTACTTGACTGTACGGGTGCACTCTGCACTTGCGCCGAATCTATATCGACATAGAAATTTTGCTGTTTCCATGAGGGAAGAAAACAACTTTTAATCCTTCACAGCGTACAAGTTACTTTATTTTAAATTATTACTGACATAGTTGATATTTTACTGTGGAAAACACTTTTCGTCCACATTTAAGCTCATACTACCGAATCGATTTTAAAAAATCAAAATCTGTTGGAAAGATATTAGTTGGGAATGATATTGATTAGTTTTAGGTGAAAATCTACCGAGCCGTTTTCTTGTAATTAACTGTTGAAAAAAAAATTTAAGCGATTTTCATGGAACTTTTTTTGGCGATATATATCATGGTCTTATAGTACTTACTGAAATATTACGGCTTTACGACAAGTAGTTTAATTTTAAAAGTTCATCAAAGTTTTATAAAATGAGTAGTTTTTTTGACGTTTGTTAAAATTAAAATTAGACGATTTACTTGGTATGACGATAGAGTTCTTGGTCTTAATGAACATACTAAACCATTAAAGTCCTACGGAAACTGGTTCAATTATAAAAATTATTGATTTTTTAAAAATTGCTTTTAGAAAATATTTAGATTTAACGTGTTCGATCGTTTTCAATTATGTGTAATAAATCCACTCGGAATACTTTTAATCACTCATAATTTAATTTATTTTTTATTGATTAAGTCGATTATTTACACATTTCAGGAAGTTCATGTAACTTGCTCCAAGGCAAAATACCAATACCAACTAGCTTTTGTATTGTTTTGTATATATTGCATATAAATTTTGAATTGGTCATATTAACATATTGGCCAACATTAGTATTGTAGTGAACATTTAGTATTGTATACTAAAATTCATTTAAATAAAATACATTAAACTACATTTTTAACGATTTGCAATAATATTACAAATCAAACATTTACAGAATCCGCAGTTAATAACATTTATAAATTATATAAATAATATGAATTATATTGTGTTACGAAGTTATGTTTGTGTAATGTCATCGTAAAGGCTGACCTCATTGTTAGCATCTGTTAACAATCATATAATATAAACTTACAGTTGATTCGAACAATAATAATTTGTTTTGCAATTATAAAACACAGAAGTCTAATGCAAATTTTTCAAAGAACATCCGTTGGAGCATTGTATAACTAATTTTTTTACTGTAGACATACTTAAATATATAGGTTATAGTGTTGGACGGGACACAAAGGTCCAGTTTGACTTTGATTATATTGTGAAAACCAAACCAATTATATCGCTACAAATAACATATATCTGACTAGGTTCAGTAAAACTCCCAGCTAATTCATTATTGTGGAAATGTGTTTAATTTGCTATTTTTTAAAAAAAATTGCCACCTGGTCCTTTTTACCCCATAGGCGGGGTAAAATGGGATGGCCAGGGTGCAAACAGGTCCAATTTCTCATTTTTCAATTTTAAAAGGATTTTACGAAATAATAGCTATATAATTTGACCAATACCATAATATAAATGTTATGAGTACATTTTCACAGAGAAATTCCTGTATATAACCTTGATCAGGTACTTCGTCAGAAATAATTATCAGCATAGCTGGAATAACTATATATTTACCTTGTCTTACAAAAAAAGGAGATTTCCCGCGGATCTTAAAGTTCCGCTGTATCCTACATAATTTCGTTTTAGTTTGTTACATAAATTTAAAACAATATTTTAGTAGCATTTTTCATCACCAAAAAAATCGAATACATGTTACACACAATATGAAACATGCAACATGCAATGCATGTTACATTGGCTTTTCACATTATTTTAACTAACGATATTATATTAATATTCATTTTATTCCATTTTCAAGTGCACGGTTTTAATCGGTCATCAACAAAACAATAATCTCACTTGTTTCGCAGTTTCTGGAACTCGTCAGGATATTATTAAAATGCAACATGATCGTCTGGCACGTTTTAACCACTTGAAATTGTTTATGAAATTTTTATTTGAAGATCATTCATTTAAAGTAGCGATACTTCAAAACCAGAATTGTTGAAAGAGACCTTTGTACGTCATGGTGTTAATTATCACACGAGGCTAATAAAAGATTTGTAATTACAATCTGGTGTATATTGAGCGGTTTCACGATTCAATTTAAATTTGATGATACACGTTTTGTATGGACGTTGAAGTTTGGAATAGGTTTTTTATTAAAAGGTTAGATTGAATGTTGGCTATTTTTAAGCATCATTTTATTTTTGAAGCTCTGCTATAAATTGGTTTCTTTGTTCGTCCGCTTGCGATTTACTTTCACACATCTGGTTTTAATGAACGGCTTTTCATTAAACTTCAGATATAAATAGATCAATGAGTTCATTTGGAATAATTTATAGCTTTTGTTAATCATGGAAGGTGTATTGCTTACTAATTAAATTAAAACTACTTTGAGATGAATTATTCAATTATATGTATTTATAGAATTTTTACTCTATAGTTTTTAAAAATAGGAGCATTTTGTTGCAAACACAATAAAATAAACCGTAGAATAAATTATTTTTTAAGCCAAGAAGTTGTATACTGCACCAATGATAATACAAATTAATTTTAATTCATGCAATTTTAATTTGATTGTAAAATGGAGAAAAAACTTCACTAGATTTGTCATCATATATAACAATGAAGATATAATATTAAATATTTTTCTGTAAAAAAATATTTTACTAGTGATTCGTTTATACTGAATACATGATGTGAAATAAATAACATCGATTATATTATATTGAATATATCATAATGAATAAAAATATTTATTTAATTTATTATATAGAGTACATTATATAAGCATTACATTACACATATTGTTTCAAAGCTTTGAATTGAATACTCTGTATTAATTATTTTGTACTGTAATAAAAAAATATTTTGAATTAAATACTATTTATTAAACACTGCATATCTATCTTTTATTGAATAATTGAACCTTCACTCTGGCAAAGTGAAGCAATTAAAAATAGTAAATAAAAAAGTATATTAAGTTAATAAAAGCAATTTTACAATAGATAAATTGAATAAATAGTTCAAACTCTGCTGATAAATATTTCTGACGAAATACCAGATCAAGGTTATATACAGTGTTATCTTTGTGAAAAATCATAAAAATTATATTTTACATTGATTGAATGTTGTTGAAATCATTTTGTAAAATGAATTCTTCAGAATGAAATATTCGATCTGTTTGCGTCCTGGCTGTCCCATTTTACCCCACCTATGAGTAGAAAGAACCACGTAACAAATTTTTGAAAAATAGTAAAAAAACATAGTTGTACAATGATGAATTAGCTGGAAATTTCACTGAACATAGTTAAATAGTTGTTTGTTGGATATGTGTTGTTTGTTTTGATGTAGTTGTTTTGGTTTTCAAAGTATAATTGCAAAAAGTTAAATTGGATCTTTGTGTCCCGTCCTACCCTATGCTTTATATGAAATATCTTACAACAAGTGTCATTAATTAAATTTCATGTAATTAATAGTTTATATTTGTCACCTTTGATGAAATTTTATATAGCAATGAATAAGTTGCACTTTCCCTACATTTACTTATGATTTTATTATTATTTTCAGATATTCGACTACAATTGAACGAACAATTACGATGTCTCGACGTCCGCATGGAAGCACAAGTCGGGCTGGTCGCAGAGTTACAAGACTTCTTCAGGAAACGCGCTGAAGCAGAGCTGGACTATAGCAAAAGCTTAGATAAATTGGCCAAATCACTCCAACTGAGGCATAGAGAACAAAAACAAAAGTAAGAGTTCTAAATTAAATTATTCGCGAAAATTTTGCAAAGTTATGCAAAAGTAATATAAAACAAACGTATATGGAAGTAGTATAAAAAGCTTTGTGTAGAACAAACACACAACTACGAGTTTAAATATGGAATATGTTTACTTTAATTGGTATAAGATGAAGTTCGAAATTAATATTTTTGAATGTATAGTTCTCGAATAGTGTACTATAATTTTAGTATTTCGTTATCGAACATTACAAAAATTATACAACTATTCCGGAAAAAATGCTAGTAACAGGCAAGTCACATTAATTATTAGATCTTCATTCATCATTATTTTAATTTTATTCTGTAAGATTGTTAAAAGTTTAATAGTTGTTATTTATAATTGTATACATATCTTTAGGATTTCCCATGAAAAGATCTTCCTCCGATAACTCAGATTGTTAAGTTATAATTTAACCTTTGTAACTGTGGACTGCATAAAACACTGATTCGTTGGTATAATTTATGTATTTGTTGCTAGTTCTTATTATAATAACTGTTTTTTACTAAGTATTAGTTAATTGATTTTATATGATTATTACTTACTTATTATACATGTTACTACGCGGACTTTAGTTTTGGAAGTAAAGGAATAAGTTAGATCCAACTCTGCGCTACACCCTCTACGGGGTAGCAACTTTCCGGTAAAAAGCTCATTGCCATGAAGATTGCTGTTTTCATGGCCAATATAATAATATGAAATATGAAATATGAAAATACGTTTGAACAATAATGATTATTGCATCTAGATTACTATGAAGTATATGCATAGACCTTATATTAGTAATATAAGGTCTATGAGTGTCTGAAATATTTTTTTTATTCAAAACCCATTGACATAAAAAACAATTTAATTATGAAATGGTTAGTATTATGAGTAACAATATATCTGTAAAATGCAACAAGTTTATAGATTTTTTCTAATTTTACATATAATTACGAACATGCATTCAAAATGGTTTCTGCACATAAATATTGACAACTCTTTAATGCGAAATTTCAACCGACAAGTAACCCATAAATCAATTAACGACCTGGAGTTATAAAATAGATCGATGGGTGAATAAGTACTCATTAACACTTTAACGAATGCTTCAGCTAAATTACCGTATAAAATAAACGCGAGCTTCAAATCGACTCAACACTTCTAATTTACTGGGTACTTACACAACGAGTTTATTTTTAAAATACGATTTTTTACATGATCGCTGACAACGAATTGGGAATCGGTGTCATTGATTTGATGGGTGGATGGAGGAATGAATCATGTTTATAACAGCTTTTTTATTTCGTGTCCGAGTACGCTTATAGATACGATCCCATTGTTCTGCAAAACCCAATAAAAAATTAAAATTGAAAACACACCCGGTAGATGTATTATTATAAATTTTTTTACGCGTTTTTGATTTAAGGTTTAAGTCATACTTGATATTATTTTTACTGAATAACATGCATTATTTCTTCTAGGCGCGAACAATGGCCTTTGTTCAGCAGTTACTCTTGTTGGCAGCGTCTGGTCGAACAAACTCGATCTCTAAGTCGCGACCATGCAGCATTAGCAGAGGTTTATTCGGCACATCTTGTCCAGAGGCTCCAGCAGGTTGCCGAAGACGTGCAGCGTATATACAGACGCGTAAGTTTTTGAAGTAGAACTTCTTTAGGCGCGACTAGGGTGTAAATTCGTACAAATGCAACAGAAGTCCGTTACGGCTGATAAGATAAGAGTCCAGTGCCAAAGATTTGTCATTCGCTCTCGATGATATTATTTTTACACGGGTCGATTGTGATTAGTAAAATATTCATCTGATTCAGGCATTTTTCATTAAATCAAGATTTGTACTACGATGTAACTTTAAAATGTTTATTTATCTATGCCGATTTCCTTGTTGATATCAGTCAATGAATGTGTGTTAATTTTAATTAATGAAGTTCTTCAAACACAATTATAGCATGATGAGTGAAGTTGCGAAAACAATATTTGTTTAGGCGTTGTTTAACATAATCCACTGTGTGAACGAATATTATAGAAGTTATTAATCAGCAATTACTTCATTTTTCTAATGAAGATTCATTTCTAAATGCTAATTATAATGACAAACCGATCATGTCAAATTTGAAGTATGACTTTAAATACATTATTGTTTGTGAATATTATACATATTTTTAATGCTATTATAAATATATAATTTATAATTTATCATTATATGAATGTGTATGATGGTTGACACTAATAAATTATGCATCACGATGTTACCATATTACTAATAAACATTATTCAAACAATCGTTATATGATGTATTTATTTTTACTTAAATGCCATCTTGTACAGTAGCAAATAAGTTTTACTTCAATAGCGTGTGAACCTTACGCGAACTCTTTTTTTTACAATGTCGGAAATTTGATTTTTTATTATATAATTTATTTTAAATTTCATCTTCGATTAATGCCATGTGGACTTCGACGTATGCTCCAATTTTTTAAAAGAATTGGCACAAAAATAAAGTTAATATGAATAAAAAATGACCCGTTAATAAAATTATGAATGACTGCGTTTAAGGTTTTGGTTCTAGAATATTTTTGTATATATTTTTAATCTTTAACCAATCAAGAATATGTGTACAAGAGGATTTTTCAAAATTTAAATTATTTTTGGAGATATAGGTATTTGAAGAGGGTAACGCTCCTGTGCCCTACTCCTACTTCCGCGAAACTTTAAACGCGTTTTTCTCGAAACTATCGTTTTTCAATACATTACCACGACTTCTCAAATTCTACTGGACCGATATACTTGAATTTTTTACAGAGTCTTTCTTATAGATTTCTCTTTAATATTAACTACGATGATTTGCAACTTCAGATTTTTACTATTTTAAAAAAAAATCGAGAATATTGGAAAAAGTTGTAATTTTTTTTCTTCAGACAGTCGCTAATTTGTGAAAAACAATTATTTTAACTTGTACGTGGTTCATACGGTAGCAAGGTTATTCTAGATTAATAATATATATCTTTTTTTCTCTGGATTATTTGGAGAGATAAAATCATGGATATGGTCAGGTACCAATTATTTGAGATCTCTCACTTCATCACCTTTTAGACCTAAAATTGTTTGGCTATTTTTAGTTTTTATTTAATTATTATATTCTCAAATATTATTTAATAACTTGTAAAAAATATATAGTAAAGTATTGTTTGTATTTTTCTTTAGTTTTCCAAACATCGCATAAAATTCATAGACCAGAATGTTCCTTAATTAATTTAAATAGATCATTATAATATTTATTCGTTGATTGATTACTCATAGTGTATACTATATAATTTATTAGTACCAGTTCTCCTGCGTAAGATTGCATAAGGGTGCACACTATCCTGGATTGTTTCGTATTCTTTTAAATTTGTGTGTTTATGAAACTTTACTGATTCAATACATGTGAATTCCAGCACATTTAGAAGGTGCAGTTATGTTAAAAAGGCGCTGGAATTGATGCTTTTACGTAGAGTTCTAAGACCGAATAAACTGTTATCAAATTATCAGATATTTCTATGGGTTTCTATTTCTACGCATCTAACGCAGCACGATTACTTTGAAAAGAAGTTCAAAATTTCCAAAATATAAAAAAATCAAATTTTAAAAAAATGACAATTTTTTTCAAAAGTCTATCTATTTTATCAAAAGTTTATATCTAGTTTTTGGTACGGGAAGTTCCAGCAATTGGCCTTAAGGCACGATGCTATGCAAAACTAGTTATTATTTATTTATTTATTATTTTATAGCACTAGTATATATTTATTTAGAGAAGCATAATTAAATATGTTATTATTATGGCTGAATATCATCATACTAAACTACTATCAAATATTTTTTTAGTGTCGCGAAATCGGCTACGAGACGCATGAAGAAATATTGCGTGTGCTGCAGGAGTTACATGCAACTATGAAAACTTACCACGGTTACCAGGGCGAATGTAGAGCCGCGGAAGGTAAACTGCGCGCGGCTCGAAATCAGCAGGCCAAGCTGGAGCAAGCCGTGCCCAAGGAGAAGCTCGAACGGAGCAAGAAGTATAGACTGATTGAAAAAGAAGTTTCTAAGGTAATCGAACTCTTATATAAGGCATTTTAAATATTGATCGTCAAAGGAGAGATAATACATTCAAAATGTAATATGTTTCATTCATATAATTATGTTACGTATTCATATTAAATACACCTATCCCCCGTTTTACGGAAGATAGGTTCCATAAAAAACTGTGTATCTCGAAAAATTTACTCTTATATGGGAAAACCATGCTAAACGAAAATCACTATATAAAATCCCTTTTTGTCAGTTTTTAACCGTTATTGGTCGCTAGCTTTTCACACGTGATTCCTGCTAGGTCGTAGCTGGTTTCGGTAAATATGCGAAATCTCTTTTAATAAATAATGTATTAGATATTTTTTTACATGTATATGTTTTCAACTACTTTCAAAATTTTCCTAGCTATTATCTCCATAATTTTTTTATCATTTTCTTTTTTTTTTAATAAAAATTGGTTTGATTGTTGTCGCCTTCCAGGTGATGTGCGAGTGCGAAAACAGCATCAAAGAACTGTTGTATATTGAAATATATTGAACAAAAAATAAATATATAATATCAAACACGTTTCATAAATTATAAGAATATAAATTTATTCCAATAATAAAATAAATATAAAATAATCTTACTTTGAATATTGCATTTTCTTTATAGATTAAATATTCCACTTTCTTTCATATAATAATAGAGAAGTTATAAAAAATATAAATTTAATAAATATTCTTTTATAGTTTGTAAAGCTAATAGGAAGGTGTAAAATAAATTTTATGATACAACACTTAACGAGTGAAGGTGATATATATCATCAGTATATAACTATATATACTGAGTTATATTATATAATATCAAATGAACTAAATCCATAAAATGCTAGTATTCCGAATAAATTTCGAAGTTTCTAAACTAATTTCATAATGCATTTATCTATTTATACGAACTTGAGTAATTAATGCGTGTAATGCGTATTTGATAATTCAAATATTGACAATATATAATGAGAATTTCGAATAAACATAATTTTATATAAATGATGATAAATATTAAATATTTATAATAATAAGCGTATTTTCAATTTATTACATAGAAGTTGTATGTTTTCATTCCGCAAATATTAAGCAGATATCTACTGTTATTTCTAATTCCGCAATAAATTCTTATCGACTATCAAAAGTGATGGTTTACATATACATTGTTTTAAATAGCATATTGTCATACTTGTTCCAATTATTTATAAAACAAATCGTTATACGTATGTTGGAGTTTATTGCCTCTAATTACTTGAGTATTTATATATACACACAGAAATATATATATATATATATATATATATATATATATACATATTTATTTATACATATAAATGCAATCGCGCTAACATTTGGCTCGACTCGAACCAGGAAATCACTTATCAGTAGTTGAAAACTACAACGATATTACGCTGGAGAATCATTTATATTTCAAGTACGTTTCTAGAGTTGTTTCGTGATTGACATTATCTACTTCATATTTTTTCTTTTTATTTAGTTTTATCTATTACTTTCAACACAATTTTTAAAGCATTCTATTCTTCATTTTACTTCAGCATATCGATAACAACAAATAGAATATTTTTGTTGGGAAATCAAGCATTTATAAGAAATCCTCGCATTTTATATCATTGCATAAGCGAAATCTAAATACAAAAAGCATTTTCAATGAAAAGTTTGTAATAAATAATAATTATGTATAATATAAAATATCATTTTAATTAGATGAAAACTCATGACAATATTTTGTAATACATGAAATTATTTTTTAAATTTTCAATAATTTCAATAATTGAAATCGGTTGAACCGTGTTCCCGAAATCGTCGACGAAATTTTGTATCTGCACACACACACATACAACCATTTTTTAAAAGGTATGCCAAAATGTTCAGAAAACCTCTGAAACGTAAAGATATATAAAATTTTCCATTTTTGATTTTTTGCGATTACTATAATTTGCCCTACGCGAAGTTAATAACTTAGGAAATTACCATTTTTCAACAAAATATTACGGCGTTAGGTACTTTTCATAAAAATCTTCATGTTTATAATTGCACATAAGAGAACCGGCTTGTAGTTATGATCCGATTAGTGTGTATCGTATCGACGTCCATCAAAACGGGAGAATTGGGCCAAGTGAGTCATCACTTGCAGTTTTGATTAGGCTCTGAATGACAAGAGAATCGCTTTTAATTATTAATTATGTTTAATGGAAACCGGCGGGATGTAAATCAGACTGTGAAATGCCGCATGTAGACGTGATCATTGCAGCGACATCTGCGGAGCAATATACACTACATCACCGAAATCTTCATAGTTTATCTTGGAAAGATCACTTGATAATTACGTATCACTTTTGTAATGAATACTGTAAAATGGAAAATTAAGAATTTCAAATATCCAGGGAGAAAGAGGGGTTGGATACGGTAATTACAGTCGTCATAACAGCTAAACTATGCTGATTGTGAGATATAGTTCGAAGGAAAAAGATGAAGTATGATTGTTTGAACAAGTTTCCATTATTGCATTGAGTCACCCTACATTAACACGATCTGTAGACCGCCTTGCTTTTAAAGAGTCAAGAAAAGTTTTTTGTTCGAATTCTTCTAATCCTAACTGTTAATTGTATACAGATGAATGACTTTGTTTGTTATTTTGCTATAAGTTGAACATTGATAATCATTTACCTTTTACCAGCAATTAGTTTTTGCTTGCATGATTAAGCTCAGTCATAATGATGATTTATTTTCAAAAGTGTGCGTTGGGTACGGTTTTGGCAAATTTTGGGGTGCGGTTTTGATATGTATTTTTTGTCTTTTTTGGGTTAATAATAAACAGATAAAAAAAATAATTTCACTAAAACAAAATACGCAAGAGAAAGGAAAAAGAAAATTCAACACAAGAAAAAAAATTGACAAAGATTTCTCGTTAACTTTGTTTAAAAATTTGTTTTGTTATATGTTATATTTTATTCATGAGCTTTGTTTAAATGTTTATGTTGTGTTGTTATATATTGAAATCGGGATGGAAGTTTTAGTGTTTCCACGATTTCAATTAATTTAGACAATGTCAATTACTACACTGCAAATGTTTGTTTACAATTCTTTGCAATTTTTGTTTAAATATTTCTTTAAAATATATTTATTTAATTATATAAAAATAAATATCCGGATTTGATAAAGAAGCTTTGAAATCAAATCCATAAAAATCTATCTCCTTCACTTAAGCTGACGCATTTAGTTCCATGATTTCATAAAAAATGGATATTGTTCTCTCATGTCGCTGTATTTATTATATTTTTGACCGCATAAGTTATAATCAAATACAGCCGACCTCTATTGGAGCAAAACATTTACATTATAATTATCCTGTTGAAATTCTTATGACGATGACATCATGAATTGGATTTGTTTAAAATTTATTTCACTTATGACTGTTTTCAATTTATTACTTGTTTATATTGTGTCTGCTCATAAAATGATCTGCGTCGATTGAGCTGTAAATGTAATATTTCAATCAACCGAATTGTTTAATTATGAGTTCTCAAGTTGTACAGTTTGTTATTTCGTAATGCAGCAAAGACTACATTAACGTTTCTTACTGATTTTTACTTCGTTTGATCTGTTGTAAACAATCATAAAAGTTAATTGATTGTTATGGCGTTTTTCCGCTCAGTTTCATTTTGAGCATATAGTGCGTATGTAAGTTTTCTTAATGGTAATTAAAAAAAACTTTTGATATTAATTAAATGTTAATACAATTATCTCACTCTAATTTCAGCGCAAAAGCAAGTACGCCGATGCTCGATTGAAAGCATTGAAAGCGCGGAATGAGTATCTGCTTTGCCTCGAAGCTTCTAATACAACAATCCATAAATATTTTGTGGATGATCTCTCTGATCTTATAGATGTAAGTATATTTTCTTGTTTAATACCATAGCCATCTAACTTGAAGTCCATCTTAACTAGTTAACAGTGATTGATGAATATAATCGTCATGGGGTAGTGGCAGAATTTTGGCTTTTAACGAGTATATTCGTCATGCGTGTAAAACAATAACCATTTGATATTTATAAAAGCAAAGTATATTCTGAAGTATCAAGTTGTTTAGAATATTTTGAAGCTAATGAACAGTATAAAATAAGTAGTTGTAAGTGACATTTTACCATAAGTTGCATGAACTTCTCGATATTAGGAAATAATTAATTTACACAACAAGTATTAAGATTTAGCTTTTTGAATAACAGTTTATTTTTGAACAACTATTTATTTTGAAAATAGTTCATACTTTTCATCCATAACTATTCTTACTTTCTTACATTTACAAGTACAATAATTCATAGAATTTAATCCGTCTTTATTTAATACTTATGTAATATATGCTTATGTTAACAAAGAAGTAAAATTTCTTAATTTTGTAAAATAAACGCATCTTTTTCATCTGATGTCTTAACAGCACAACTTAATGTGTAATCGACGAATATATTCGTTATGGACTCGAATCGGACGACACAAATCTGTGCGCTCTGCTCGATGTGAGCAACACGATTAACTGGTTAATAAATAACGCCCCAAAATTTTTTTTGATATCGACGAATTAATGGACCGATTCTGCCGTGCAACATACCAATGTTCTATATGAAGGCTATGTTATGTAGAACTTTCCATACTAAATCCTTCTAAATATTGTCAAAAGCCACGTGGTTGCTGTGCCGTCAGGCGTTTTTCTCAGGTTGTCGGATAGAAAACCTAATCTAGAAACCGCACAAATGTCAAAAAAAAAACGATCTTACAATTGGATAACAGGGTCTTTCTGATCCAGCTTCATAACATACAAGTGATGTTGCAGTGTAAAACGCCTGAATGCACAGCAAATACATGACATTTTGACAGTATTCTGTATAATTCAGTAGCATAATGTATGCAAGTTGAACCGTAACATGGTCTTGCCAGAACATTGGTCTGTTGTGCGACAGAATCGGTTCATAAATGTTCGAGAGAAATAATTTACTAACAATAATATACTATAATTGCCAAATACAGTAGAAACTCGATTAACCGGACTAATTGTTGTCGATAGGCATTCGGATAATCAAATATATGAAGAATAATGTATTGTGTTTATTGAAAATAACCAATATGTACATATATATTAACGAAAATGAATGTTTATTGAGAAATTAACACTTACTTATGTATGGGCATACACAATTTTTTAGATTACATTGCATACATAATACTAATGTGCAGTATTAATCATGAAATAAAATATTTAGGTACGTATGTACGAACAATATACATTTACAATATGTATAGTAATAGCCCGCTTAACGCGGGGGATACGTTCCATCAAGGTAAAGCGTAATGCGAAACAGCACTAAACGAGGTTAGGGGAATATTGGCTTAATGGCATTTTGCGATAAATTTCATCGTCAGTCCATATAGACAGTTGTTTTTTTATTTCCTTTATGATATTATTTCTAGAACGGGTAATTCTAGTTGCGTGCGAGCTTGACGTAGTTGTAGTTGCCGATGACAGTATGATGGTCCTTATTATTGAAGTTACCAAATTCAATGAAGCACTAATCAGAGTTTGATGTTTACCAGAATCTAATCTTCTAATCAGTTCCATGTTAGTTTTGAGTGAAATGCTTTTTCTGGTTGCTTTTTATTATCACCCATAGTGAAAACTAAAGATCAAACTAATTGACACTATAATATAGTATTAAATATGTAAATTAATACCTACTTACAATAATGTCAATAAATGTTCGAAACCCTGGGTTGGAATAAAAGAGCGCTAAACGAAACAGCGTTCACGTTAGGGGTATTACTGTATATGGTAATCATGAAATAAGTAGGTAATAAGTTTAATTTGGTTTGAAATATTTTGTAATTGTCATTTGATTGCTTGCATAAATTCGACGGATAATTGCGAATCCGTATAACTCAGGGCCCGATAAACGAGTTTCTACTGTATTTGATAGATATTAATTAAATGGAAATAATTAAATAAATGTTTTACTTTCTATAATAAAACAGTTTTGAAGTTTTGAAGAATTTTGTTAAGTATAATACTTTTGCCCATTTTTGTATTCGTGAATTTTGTTTTATCAAAAACCATTACGGCGTAAAAATCTTAACACTTTGTTGACCGGCTATTGATATTTCTTGATTTTTACACCAAAAGATTTAGCGGATCTTATAAGCGAGAGAAAAATCTTGTGTTATACCAGACTAGCATAGTCTGCTCTCCAACAGAGAAAACAGCAGTGTTGCGAAAAAAAGTGCATTACGAGTTTATTTTAGTGATTTGGTCAGCAGCATTCGGCCATAAGAACAGAAGAGAATTATCAAACCGGTTATCAAAGTGTTACTAAAAGCATTTGATATCAATATAACACTCATTCTATGTTCAATTTGCAGTGCATGGATATCGGCTTCCATAGCTGTGTGTCCCGAGCGCTTCTCATGCACGTTTCTGCCGAGAACGGTCGAGGCAGGGCAGTGCAGACCGGAGCCGAACAACTGGCTCAGCAAGTTCAGGCCTTGGATTCGCGTGCCGACAAACAGCGCTTCTTGGAGGCGAATCATCAAGCTTTCATGATACCCAAAAAGCTTGAATTTCAAGGGCAACGTGCGGATGATATCGCCAATTCACCTGCACAGGTAATAAATTAAAACTAGCTGTAAGTGGAATTCTGTCTTAAGGCAATTAGGGCATCGTGCCTTAAGGCAAATTGCTGGAACTTCCCGTACCAAATATTATTATTTTTAAAAACGATTAACATTTTTGAAAAAAATTTACTTCGAAAAAATAAGATTTTTGAGAAACTATAAAATGGACAAAAAATTACTTTTTTTTGAAAAAAAAAAAAATTTTTTAAAAATTTTTAAAAAAAAAAATTTTTTTTAATTTTTTTTTTTTTTGAAAAAAAATGTTTTCTTTATTTTGACATATTTTGGAAGATCTGAACTTGTTTTTCAAAGCAATCGCACTGCTTTAATTGCATAGAGACAAAATATAAAGCGTTTAAGCGCGGCGTCGCTGTCTAACGGGTAAACATTGATACGGAACCCATAGGAAAATAAACAAAATTTATACTTATTGTTAAAATCTCTATAAAATATCTGAAAATTTGATGTGCATATGTCTAATGATCATTTTTGACCGCCAAATAGCATTTTTTTTTTACTTTTTTTGTTAGATCTCCGAAACCGCTAGACCTGCCTTCATGAAAATTTGATCAATTCTTTATCTTGTCAATACAAGTAAAATGTTTTTTGAATTATTAAAATCGGACGCTCCGTTCTCTTAAAAACTGAGTTAACGTTTCCGACACTTTTTGCCCCGTATCTCCGAAACGGCTAGACCTGCCTTCGCCAAAAACTAATCAGCACGTCTCCTTATCAATACAAATCGAATGTTTTTTGAATTATTCAAATCGGTTGATCCGTGTTCCCGAAATCGTCGACGAAAATTTGTATCCGCACATACATACACACACGCACACACACACACACACATACATCCATTTTTTCTAAGGTATGCCAAAATGTTCAGAAACCTCTAAAACGTAAAGATATATAAAAATTTTCATTTTCGATTTTTTTGCGATTACTATAACTTACCCTACGGGAAGTTAATAAATATTTATAGTACTTCTTATAATTAATTTTCTGCATGAATTTATGTAGAAAGTTTTGATATGAAATTACTGAAGTATGAAACGAGTTTTAAAATTTGATAATCAAAATCATGGTCTAATGCTAGATTTTCAATATTTAATTTAAAAAAATAGGTGTTGAAGTATAAGGCTAATATATCACTTCACCCAATAAGTCCGTAGGATAACTAAAAAACCAAATATTTAATTTGGCAAAATTCTTTTTTACTATTCAATATAGTTTTCTTCGAAGACGATATACCGATTATAGCGAACTTTGAACTTTTCGAAACCATTTTTGTAGTATGATTTGTACTATGCCACAAAATTCGGCTATCATCTCACCATTTGGCAAACATTTCTCTAGAGCGAGCATCTTTTTGAGATTTGAGAACAGGATATGGTCGCTGGGGAACAGATCTAGAGAATACAGTAAAGCAATTCGGAGCCTAATTCATGTTTTTTTTGCCACTGTTTTCACGGATTTGTGACTTGGCGCGTTGTCCTAATGAAGTAGCACGCTTTTCTTTTTCAAATGGGGTTATTTTTCCGAATTACATCTTCCAATGCTCCAATAACGTTCTTCAATAATCACTGTTGATGGTCTGGCATTTCTCAAGATAGTTGATGGAGATAATTCTTTGCAAATCCCCAAAAACTGACGCCATAACCTTGATTGCTAATCGTTTGCATTTTTTCTCCTCATCGTGTCTAGACCATTTTGGATGACCGGATAAACGAGTTAACGATTCGATTCGATTCCGGAGTGTAGTGGTGAAGCGAGATCACATCCATGGTAATATATTGATGCAAAACTCAGTTTTATTTCGATTAAACAACTCCAAGTACTCTTACGAAACATCAACTCGTAATGCTTTTGGTCAAATGTGATTTTGCGCGCCTCAAATTTAGCACAGAGCTTTTTCTTATTCAAATATTCGTGAACGATATGTCCAACACGTTCTGTTGATATCTTTAGGGTGTCGGGAATTTCAGGCAATTTTGCTTTGGGGTTTTTCAAAACGCTTTGGTGGACTTTTTTGATATTTTTCGGTGCAACCACCTCAATTGACCTTCCAAGGCATTCGGCACTGTCAGTGTCTGTATGGCCACGATTAAAATCAGCAAACCACTTTTCCGCGATTTGCCTCGATTTGGCACAGTCCAGATAACACTTATCAAGCGATACTTTGGCATCAAGGGTGTTTTTATCCATGAAAAACCAATCATAAATCAACTCACGAAATTGCTTTGAATTCATGGTTTCAAAAAATTCAAAAGTTAGCGTCATTTGAACTTCTGTAACTTGTAAACTTATCGCCGGATTGTCATGAAATTGTGACATATATTTTCTTAATGTTGTTGCTTTCTACAAATCATATGGATTATCTATGTGTTATTCTACGAACTTATTGAGTGACATAATAAATGTAACATTATATGACTCTCAATTCATCGTAATGTGCTTTTCTTTTTTAAGGAATCTGAAGTCGAGCTTCAGAAGGCTCTTCGCGTAGATATGGATAATCGTTTGGAGCAATTACGCCAAAGATTATCTAATTTACGTATGGAATCTGAAGAAGTATGGAAAACCCTTGAGACTGCTGAAACCTCTTTATTAGGAATGCTTAACGCTAAAGTAAGTTTTACAATATTTAAATTTATAACGAGGTGCAAAAATTTTATCTCTGATGTGTTTTTTTAATATGCATGTTTTAATATAACTTATATGTAAATGTTTTATTAGGATTATGAATGCTCTGACATGTTCGGAGATGGTGCTTCAACTAACCCCAAACCGCCAGAGTTAACTATTATGAAAGCAAGAGCGGATCGACAAGAAACCGAAGATTTTTATTTGACGGTAAGATTCGACTTATAACGTTTGATCATTATCTATCAGAATTCAAATAATATCTAAAACCAATACAGAAAAATTGGCTATTGAAAGAATCAAAAAATGAAAACTTAATATCTTCTGCAAGAATACATAATATAATTTACATACTTCTTTTAACATTTTGTAGATAAAGATAAAAAATTAATGCAAATTACTGTTGAAGACAATTAAAATAAATAAAAATAGTATATTATCAAATTATTGTCTATCAAATGTCTTCGCACAATAATAACAGCGCGACCGCGCTTAGGCAAGAAATATCAAAGCGCTATACCGCAGCTTAGCGGTCAAACGTAGCAATATCAATTTTTTAAAATTCATTATGACTCTATATGGGCAAAATATAACAATTACGATAAGTACTTCTATACTATACTACATTTTGATTGTACTGAATTCTATTGAATTACTTATCGATTTTAATGAATCCAATTCTAGTAATAATTTTAATGCGGTTATGTGGTAAATAATCTTTTTCGGTTTAAAAAAAAACATTTTTGGTAGCAAATGATAATAGATTATTAACTTCCCGTAGGGCAAGTTATAGTAATCGCAAAAAAATCGAAAATGAAAATTTTTATATATCTTTACATTTCAGCATTTCTGAATATTTTGGCATACCTTAGAAAAAATGGATGAATGTGTGTGTGTGTGTGCGTGTATGTATGTGTGTGCGGATACAAATTTTCGTCGAAGATTTCGGGAACACCAATCAACCGATTTGAATAATTCAAAAAACATTTGATTCGTATTGATAAGGAGACGTGCTGATTTGTTTTTGGCGAAGGCAGGTCTAGCCGTTCCGTAGATACGGGGCAAAAAGTGTCAAAAATGGTAACTCAGAGAACGGAGCGTCCGATTTTAATAATTCAAAAAAACTTTTGACTTGTATTGACAAGATGAAGAATTGATCAAATTTTCATGAAGGCAGTTCTAGCGGTTTCGGAGATCTAATGAAAAAAGTAAAAAAATGCCATTTGGCGGTCAAAAATGATCATTAGACATATGCACATCAAATTATCAGACATTTGATAGAGATTTTAACAATAAGTATAAGTTTTGTTTACATTCTTATGGGTTCCGTACCAATGTTTATCCGTTAGACGGCGATGCGGCTCTTACGCGTTTTGACCATTCATCTCTATGCAGTTAAAGCAGTACGATTGATACGAGAAGAAAAGTTCAGAATTTCCAAAATTTTTTTTCGAAAAAAAGTAATTTTTTGTCAAATTTGTAGTTTCTCAAAAATATTTTTTTTTAATTAAATTTTTTTCAAAAATGTTAATCGTTTTCAAAAAAATAATAATTTTTGGTACGGGAAGTTCTGGCAATTTGCCTTAAGGCACGATGCCATGCGCCCCACTAGTTTTGTTTTCAAACTTTGATGGACCTTTCTGTAATTATCATTTTTTAGATTTAAATTTTCATTTAAATTATTTTAACCATTACCGTTTTATCAGAAATTCCGTGAGTACCTTCTTGGAACATCTCGGATAGCGAGGCTGGATTCAAAACATGAATATTTGCGGCAAGCGTTGCAATCAGAGGCATCTGAAGACGCCATGGCTTCTCTTAATACGTCGGTCGGTGGTGGACCTGGTAAGCCTCGACGCAAGCGTATCGGCCGGCGTTATCAGTCCGGACAACCAAAGCTATTTGGAGGATCGCTGGAAGAGTATCTCGAAGCTACGAATCAAGAAATACCACTTATTATGAAGAGTTCTATTAGGATCATTAATTTGTATGGTGAGTATGATGATTTTGAAAATAGTTACTGGCATTTAGGTAAGATTTCTCCACTAAGCTAACGTGAAAATTAATCTAAAATTTGAATATAATTTTGTAGTTTATTAATTCCCCGTAGAGAGTAAGTTACAGCAATAGCAAAAAACAGAAAATTAAAATATTTTATATCTTTATGTTTCAAGATCTTCTGAATATTTTGTTATACCTTGGAAAAAATTATGCATATGTGTGTGTTGTATGTATGTATGCATGTATTAGAGATAGGCTTATCATATCCGATGCCGGATCGGTTAAGATGTGACTCCGCTTCAGAAAGGAGTTATATTCACTTAACAACTCCGACAACATCGGAACCTAATACTCGACACAAATGTCTATAGCATTTTGTTTATATATCTCAGGATTTATTAAGAATTTAGAAATCGTTTGCAAACAGTTCTAATATTTTTGTTCATTTTACTATGAGAAATCACTATTTTGTGAAATTCAATATGCTTACATAAACTTAATGTATGGAATAAGAACAAATCTTCACATATGTATAATATTTTTCAAGAAATAATAATACCTTACATTCTTCGATTAATTCCTTTTAAAGAATTAATTGTATATCAGGTAGTTCGATTAGCATACTATTACTTTTGCACAATTATTAAATTATAATTGTGTAAAAGTGATAATATAATACTAAATATTGTTTTGCTGGTTGTATACCATTGAAAAATGTCATTTATGGGAAAGGTGTAGTCGGATATGACAAAATCTCCGGATTTACTCCGAGGGAGAAGTTGTATCGGATTAAAAACTCCGGAGTGAGTTACCCATCTCTTTCTCTTCGTTTCGAAAATATGCAACAAGAAGTGCAAAAAATGTAATTCAGTTTTTGAGAGAACGGAGCGTCCGATTTCCGATTCCGATTCAAAAAACATTTCACTTGTATTGATGGAGTGAAGAATTGATTACATTTTTGAGAAGACAGGTCTAGCGATTTCGAAGATCTAATGAAAAAAGTTAAAATAAATGCCATTTGGCAGTCAAAAATTATCATTAGATACATGCACATCAAATTATTTTATATAAATTTTAATAATAAGTACAATTTTTGTTTACATTTCTATGGGTTTTTATACCTAGATTTATAATGTTTAACGTTAGATTGCAACTCGCTTCGATATTTTAAAATTATCTAAACTTTCAAAAAAAGTTCAGAATTCTCAACAAATCTATTTTTCAAAATTTTACAGCTGTTAAAAAATTTAAATTACCTTATTGAGAGTTCCAGAAATTTTTCTTAAGGCACAATGCCGTGCACCCCCTGTTACTTTTTATGCTTATTTATCTTGTTAATATAATGAATTGTATATTTTCTGTTCTTGTAGGTCTGCATCACCAGGGTATTTTTCGTGTTTCTGGATCGCAGGTAGAAATTAACAATTTTCGAGAAAACTTTGAGCGCGGTGAAGATCCATTGGCTGATATGACTGACGCCAGCGACATCAACAGCGTGGCCGGCGTTTTAAAGTTGTATTTAAGGGAATTGCGAGAACCGCTCTTCCCTATCATTTACTTTGATCATTTGATGGAACTGGCCCGTGAGTTAAACGGTTTAGTATCATTCAAATTTATTAAGAATGGTAAAATTACATGTATTCATTTTAATATTGCTCGAACGTTGTACGTAGTAGAGCATGAAGTTCTCACTATACTTGCGTGCGAATTGTGTCTTTTTATTACGCGCGATTTGATATTATTACATATTTTGTGGCACGTTTTCAGTTTTCATTGCAAGGTGTATTTTATTTTTATTTTTGCATCATAATATCTCGATTGTTCACTACTTTTTGGTGACAATATTGAGAGTCAATTGAACGAAATATACACTGATTTTATAAAACTTATTGTTACACATTGTGTTAAATGTTAGATGTTTAAGTGTGATACTGTTTTAATAATATTTTAATTTATAATATACATTTGTTTCCAGACCTCATTGTGAATTTTGTTAAATTTACTTTTTATTTATATCCTATGTGAATTTTACCTTTTTTGTTAAATTTGCATGGTATGGACATTTTAATGTGGTATTGATCAATGAATAATAATTGTATTAATTATATATGCTATTTTCAGAATTAGAAAGCAAACACGACTTTGTGATAAAAATGAAAGATTTCATTGCAAATCTTCCAAGGCCAGTTGTGATTGTTATGCGTTACTTATTTGCATTTTTAAATCAGTGAGTTTTTTTTTACAATTTTAAAATTATTTAATTAATTTTTAGATTAAATATGACCAATGATTTTGTAACTAATTTTTAGTCTTTCGGAATACTGTGATGAAAACATGATGGACCCATACAATTTAGCTATTTGTTTTGGACCGACATTAGTTCCGGTACCAGATGATAGAGATTTAGTTCAATTCCAGAATTTAGTTAATGAACTCATTAAGAATATTATTGTCTTCTATGAAGATCTATTTCCCAAAGATGGCGGCATTTTATACGAGAAATATATATCAAAGGAACCAGATGATCAGTGAGTAATTTTTATTTTGAGATGTTTATTCATACATCATACTTACAAAAAAACGATAGCCTTCCGCATTTGGTATTTAGATGGTATATCAAAACATAATTTTCTGCTGAGCAACAAAAACTAATGATATAACATTTATTTGATTAGGCATATAATAGTGAAATCATTTAATATTATGTATTTTTGTAGGGATGTTGGTGATTCGCCTATTGATCATATTCAAGAAGATATGGATTCAGAAGTATTTCCTTCTGAAGATGGTAAATCTAAAAACTTATAATAGAATAATGGAATGAAATATAACAAATAATTCTTATTTTACCTTTACAGAATGCGATTCATTAGAAGCTACAGCACAGTTCGATTTTATAGCTCGTTCGGATAGAGAGCTGTCCTTACGGCGAGGACAGCATGTCACATTATTTTCACAAGTGAGCAACGACTGGTGGAGAGGAGCTGTCGGAGGCAAGGAAGGGTTGATTCCAGATAAATACATTTCCATTAAAATAAAGTTAGTATATTTTTTAACACGTTTGCGGACAGTAAAAGTTTCAGTAAGGTACAAAAATTTACAGTAATTATATTTTTAATTTGGTTGTGGTATTCAAAATTTGATTAAACACCATTTATCATGATAGTCAGCTTAGACAATATGAGAATATAATATATTCTCATTGTATTATATTATCATTATATTGGTAGCCAGATTATTTTAATTGTTATATATGATGAATGCTAAAGCATTCATTTCACTCTGCATCACAATGAAAATGAATGCTATAGCATTCAAGTCCGCGAACGTGTTAACAATCTTTACCAATTTTGAATGCTCATTTTGTCAATTGATTTGTTAGACTATTATTTTGTTATTTTGTTTAGCAATTTTTTTATTGATACTAATGTTACATTTTATTAATTTTGGTTGAACTACAAGCTAGTAAGCTTTTTTTTTGAATGTGTGAGATGAGCATTTTTGGTTTATCACACATATGAATAAAGGGTATGGGCGTTCATCATAGACATTACACTACCTGAACTGCTAGTCCTCATATGTTTTTTGTTCTATGTAGTGCTCAAACATAGAAAGGGACTGTGACGTCACTTGCTGAGCGAACGTTACCGATAATCGCGGAACTCTCCCGATTGATTAAATATCATATGTCATTTGTTACGTGCCTAACATAGACCTTATAATATATAAACCGATTTTAACAGGTGGATTCGATTTTATGTACGTTTATTTCGCAGGGAAAATATTATTAATATAATTTCTTACAAAATTATCAGTCATCACAATTGCTATTATATTATTGAAATAAAACTATCACAGATAATATTTGAATTAAATTAACTATTAGGATAAATATTATTAATATCATTTCTTACAAAATTATCAGTCCTCACAATTACCATTATATTATTAAAATAAAATATATGGCGTATGGCATTTAATCAATCAAACTGGGAGACCCGCGGTTGTCGCCGGCAATGTTCGTTCAACATGTGACTTCACAGTCCCTTCTATGTTTGAGCACTTATTTTGCGCTCGACTAGCAGTCTATGGCGTTCATACATAATTGGTCCCTAGTTCATTATTTGGCCGAGATACCATTGAAACTATGTCAAAGTGGGCCTTTCTTTCAAACCCACTTTGTGTCGGAACTAAGAAACAATGTAAAAAATGTTTGTTACTGCATGAAAAAGTGTAAATCTTTCATTTTTATTTTCTGCAGTTCTTTGGACTATTTTTTAATTAGCATCATTCGAGAGCACATTTTTCTCACACAAGAACATTTTTTTGAAATTATATATTTTGAAATAGTGATATTTGAAATATTTGTACATTTAAATTTGCAACCACTTTCTGATTGTTAGAATTTATGCATTAGTCTTAGATATTTTGATTTAATAATTAGAAATAATACTGTACTAAAAACGCAATACATTATAATTTTGTTTTTAGGGGCGAAGAAAACAAAACGGACCCTTTAAAATCGTCCTCCAGCGAGGAATCGATGCGCCGCCGTGGCAGTTCGGATGCATCGTCTCACCTTAAACTGCACACCTTGAATTCCATGCAAATGGACTCGCCCTCCAGCCTGGATACGGCGACTCCTTCGCCCACTCTATCTGATCCTGCATCTTTACCAGGAGCGTCATCGGCACCTTGGACACTCCATCGCGAGGTACTGGAAACTACAGTCTAATACTCATAAAAACCTTTAATGGAATATGCATAATCATTACTCCATGCTAATTTTCCGCAGGCCTCGGTAACCAATATAAATAATATCAAACACAATAAAAATTATAATATATAATATCCATCTTATATGTGCAACGATAAACAAAAACCATTTATCGCAATTTATAGTAATTACGTCAAAATAATACTTGCTATTTAGTTCAGTCATTGAAACTTAAATTAGGTAAGAATCTCGGAATTTGTGATACCCAGTTGTAAATCTGTAAATACTTGTATTTTGCACCCTAAAAGTTGTATCAAAACCTACATATGGTAGGGTGTACGCAACATATGTAGGTTTTGAGACAACTTTTAGAGTGCGAAATATAAGTATTTACAGACTTACAGCTGGGTATCCCGAATTCCGAGGTGAACTTACTATAATAACTGTACTAATTATATATTATAATTTATTATTGAAATATATTTTCAAGCTGCCATTAAGAACTGAATATGAGTATAAGCATAACGGTCCAGTATGTATGCTTTTTTATAATTATAATATTTCCAATAAATTTAAGGATTTAATAATAATGCATTAAATTTTAACTATTACTTTATATCGAGACGCTTAATTGAACAGATTATTAATATTTTTAATTCTATTCGCGCGCAAGCGGTCTTTAATTTCATTCAAAATTTAATATTTTTCTGTCTTTTGAAATCATGAGACAAATCAGAACTTCTTTATTATTACTTAAATTCAAACTTGTCACAAATTACTGCTTTTGTGGCTACTGGGGCCTGCATTTAAGCTATTCGTACTTGAGTGTTTTGTTTCCATTTTGTGATATTTCACTTACCATTTTATTGAGAGTTATCGTGAGTAATTATTATGTTTCTCAACATAAAGTGCTTATAATTAAGTTATCAGTTATCGTTTTATTCTATGCAGTTTTTTCAATTAATGATCATATAACAGTTGGATTTTCATCAGATAAATCGAATACTGCTACTGTTTTTTTCACGTCCATTTTCTAATACAAAATGTATTCTTCAAAATTCAGAGGTTCAGTTTTTACTATAAATATATATTTATTTTTCCATTGATATATATTTTACTTGTTATATTTGTTAATCTTACTTTTTTATTCATTTCGATAACTCTCAAAAAAGCTTTGTTTATATAGCGTGTTGATTTTTGTTTTTACTCCTGATATTATTTTGATTTATTATTATGTTGATCATAACTTCTGCAGAGGTTAAATGCTAAATACATATTATATTCCTAAGTGTAAGCTTAATTAACACACAGAAATTTTATTGTGCCATAATGAAATATTGATTTTAATTTTTTGCGTGTTTTTAATCATTAATGTTATATGACTGATTTCTCATAACTCAACGCATTTTTGCCAATATTTTGTGAAACGTATCTCAAATAGAATCTAATGTAATGAATCGAAGAAGCTCAATTTACTTATTTTGTGTGGAACTAGTAATTGAAATATGTGTATACTGCAATGTTCTAGAAGTAAAGGAAAAACTAATAATTAGCATTTGTAAAACAAACAAAATATAGTAAGCATTTTTTGAATTACATAAGCCTTAAGATCTCTCGATGAACGTTTCAGTACAATACATGTAAGTGACAATTTACATTAAGTGACAAGTATTTAGCATTTAACATTCATTTTCAATATTATCATTATTTGCTCAAAATTTTAAGCTGACTTACGATCATGAGAGAACATGATAGTCTGAATATAGATTTGTGCCTGCGAAGAACAAGATTTTTGTCTTATACTTGTGTTATTATTTATTTTAAAGCCAGAACTGGTCATTCACGTTATTAAAAGTGTGTAAACCTTCTTCTAAATTTCACATAAATGAAAATCCAAGGAATTAAGATAGAAAATCTTCGAATATTCAAATTAATTGGTTTCATAAACTTTTCTTTTGTGTCTCTAAAAAAAGTCTCCATATGTGAAAATAATAAACGCCACATGTCACCGAAATGTTTTTATGTTTTTTCAGTGTATCCACAATGGCCTTTAATGAATGATTTAATTTTTTGTTTGTTTTTTTTAAACCGTTACACAAAATTTTTTAGTAAAAGATAAAATATGTAACTAGAAACTGTTTCTTTATTCGAAAAACTTTCTCTGTGAATACTTTTAATCTTGTTTGCTAAAATCTATTCATATATATAGCGTTTCACAAAGCTTTTTGGACTTATGGAGACTTAAATTAAAATTCCACTCATCTTGAATATTTTTCTGAATACAAATTTTCACTTTTAATTACTCACTCCTTGTAACACCACAAGAATTTTAATTAGTATTTGGATCAGAACACACTTTTATTTTATATTAAAAATATTTTTTTTACTTTAAACCACCATTATATCAATTCTTAATTTGTTCTTGTTTAATAAACATTTTGTACCTAATTTAACAAAGATTATGTAATATTGAAGGAGTAGATTCTTAATGCTAGATATACATTAGTGATATGACGTACCATAATTTAGATATTCTTTAAAGATGTGTTATGCGATAATTTGACATTATTTTTTACTATAAAATTCTTTATTTTATATAGTTTTTTCGCTAGATTCACATTTTTACGCCTTGTTTTTCAAGTGATTTTTAATACCATTAAATTAAAATTATGTTTGATTATCATTTTATGGTTGAATAATGCAATTATTGAGTTACATATCTTCTTATATTTATTTATATTTTTTTACTTTTATAAATAAAATTAGCTAATGTTTTTATTTCATAAAATCGTATGCTTATATATATAATATTTTAGTTAATCCAATAGTGTAAATGTTAACTTCTAATCGTTATGAATCTGATTTATTACGTCCTGTTTCTCTTATATTTATTTTAGTTTAAAAGTTATGCATGTATTATGTTTTAGTTTCATGTGTTTAGTTTTAATGTGGCTGTGTTAGAAACGAAGGTAATTAGTTCTTCTTTATTTAAAAACTTTAAAAATTTGTTTTTCTTCTAAATCACAACTTTCTGCTACGAACACAAAGTATGTAATCTCTACTATTATGAATCGGTCAATCGAACATTTTTCATTTTCGAGATAAAATTGGTTAAAAATTCATCTACATTTCGATCTATGTTGTAATTTTTCTGCTTGTTACAATTTATAGTCTGCAGTTCATTTTTGCTGCAAAAACATTCTGGTCCATTTGTTTTGGTTTTCACATAGTACACAGTGAAGTAATTGTAATATTCATACATTCTTTATACAAAAGGATAATCTTGTCTTAATTCGTAATTAATTTTAGTTGACAAAAATAAAATCACCTAAGTTTTCTTGCTGTGGGATATGAAAAGACCAAAATATTTTGACTCATTACGAATATGACTTATTGAGGAAAAAGTGTTTATTGTCCTTAGATTCATATAGAACTATTTTGTCAATAGAATTCATTATACTTCAACCTACAATATTCTTTAGAAATAAGGAATCTGTTTTATCATAATATCGTAAATTTCTGCGCAGCTATTAATATTTATGTAATTTATTTTTATCATTTATTTTGTTCGTGCATATTTTTCATTTCCATATTTTAGTTATATATTTATACTTTAGTTTTACTATAGATATATTGAATATAATATCAATATTATCATAGCGCAAAAAAGCGCAAGCGATCATAAGTTTTGTGTTAACCATAATAAGTATTTGCATGATACTTATTAGATTTTTATATAATGATTAGCATATAACTTATTGCAAAAATATTGTGATAATCTCTAATATATTAATATAGTTGGCTTATTCAATACAACATTTTTTGTAATTATCAAATAGACTTACAAAAACTTACTAATGATATTTTATCGTGGTAAGTATTTTTATTGTTGAGGTTCGGTTATGAATATAAGTGAAATAAAAGGCGTATCAGAAATAAAAAGAATATATGCCGATTTTATACAATCAACTATCGTATAAAAATTGTATTATTTAATATTTAGTAATTTTCATTTTTTACTTTTGTTTAAATTTAAAGGAAAATATTATTCGATTAGAAAAAATTATATATGGAGTAGAGTAACTATACATTCGTAATCATCTGAATAAGCATCAAGCATTCTAAAACATTTATATCATTTTTTTCCTTTCATTACCTTTTGCCAATCCGAACGTTTAGTCATATTTTCAAGTTTAACCCTTTGGCTACGAGGGTTGCCTATAGGCGACATCTCCATGTGGCTACCTGTGTTTATGGGCGTCACCTATAAACGACATCTAATGCCTTCACCCCTGCTTCTAATTAAGAATTCCAATTTGTTATTCTACTTTCTAGCTTTTTGGAAGTGCATTTTTATTTTTAAATACATTTTTGTTAATGATGATTGAAAAATCTTAAGGAGGGCCCTGCTTTAGAGGCTTAAAAAAATCGATTTTTTTTCTTTGCAATGTCTTCCAAAACTAGCCAAGAATATATCCCTTAAATTTCAGAAACAAATTCAAATTATTTTCGGAATTGCAGAAGAAATATTGAGCAAGTGTCAAGCATGTATACGAGCGAAACGAAAACTTCGACGCGCCATTTCTCGGCTTTGAATGTTTTCGATTCTTCCTAAGTGGTGGGAAAGATAGGAAAAAACCTAAACATCCTATCGAAACGAGACAAAATTCATTGCATTTAGGATTAAATTCTGTTCTAGTTGAACCTAAAAAAAAACTTAAAAAAGGTTATAATTAACCCACTTTTTAGACAATCTAAAGTGAAATTTTGTATCAAAAAACATGATTTTTTTTTTCAAATTGCAAAAAATTGCTGATATTCTCATTTTTTTCTGGATTCAACTAGGATCTATACTATTGAAAATATATATTTTTTTTGTCTCGGATGGAAATTATGACCTGCATCTTTCCCGCTAAATGACACCTGCACGCTCGTGGCGCATCGGCAAAATGCTTGCACCCGGCATATTATGACACATATTTCAAAAAAAAAAATAGGAAGAATGTTGAAATACATAACAACAAAACTTGAAAGTTTCGTTTCAATTAAATATTTTTTGAAGCCTCTAAAGCAGGCTTCCCTCTTAAACTATGTTGTTGTGCCTGGTGCCACAACTGAACGGAGTTGTGCTAGAGGGCGGCTCACTGTTCCATACAGCAGTGTCACTTCTTCGGAAAACACTGACATAGCGAAAGGGTTAATAAATTGTTATAACAAAATTCTGTTGCAAACATACTTTGATGATCAGAAAAATGGTAAATCAAAGTATTTGGTTACTTTCTCTATATATGATAATTGATAATATATCAAGTCATTTATATTTTTGTTTATTATCATTTAAATTATTGTTATAACAAAATTCTGTTGCAAACATACTTTGATGATCAGAAAAATGGTAAATCAAAGTATTTGGTTACTTTCTCTATATATGATAATTGATAATATATCAAGTCATTTATATTTTTGTTTATTATCATTTAAATTATTGTTATAACAAAATTCTGTTGCAAACATACTTTGATGATCAGAAAAATGGTAAATCAAAGTATTTGGTTACTTTCTCTATATATGATAATTGATAATATATCAAGTCATTTATATTTTGGTTTATTATCATTTAAATTATTTATAATGATCGACTAATATTTCAAAAAGCATTAGGATTATTTCTATTGTGTATTTTTGGGGGCTTTTTACTCTATTATCAATATTATTTATTCTGTAATTCTAAAAAAGGAGTGATGTTATTTTCTATTGTCATCTAACTATCTGTTGTGAGTTGTGATGCTGCATATCAGGTCCAGAACTATTTTAATATGTATCATGACAATGAGATATTTGAGAATTGCTTTTATTCATGGCCGAGTACCGCTTCCTAACCGATAATTAGTGTTCGATGCGTTTTTCTCACATAATTTGTTTTGTTTTTGTTTTCTGTTTTGTTTGTGATAGGAGAGTGATACGACGGACACTATCGTTAAGGCAGCGCAATGACGCCATAAGGTGAGAACCTGGATGGAAAAATAGTCATTTCACTTATCTATTGTAACACCAATATCTGATGTTTATCATCCTGCACCATTTTCTTACTTACTTATACGCATCATTAGCATTGTCACATGTATTTTTCGAAATCATCTCATCATAGAAATATAATGTTAGATGTTTGTCAACTCTAAAACCATACATTTACTTAACCATCCGCTATTGCAGTGTTAATTATTATTAACAATTGTTAAAATGCATAATAATATTAATAGAAAATATTTATTAGATGTGCCTAAATGCCATATGTCCTCGGCTCTCCTTCTATCACTCTCTTAAACGTTAACAGTACTAATTATGATTCTTATTGACTAACTTACAATAGTGTTTTTTGTGGGGCGGAGTAAATATTAATATAATTGTTATTAATTGGATATTCTAATATCATACTTTTTTATTTATTCCGTCATAAATATGTACATAGTATTTATATTATTACATCTTTTGCACTTATATCCACATACATGTATGTATATATATATATATATATATATATATATATATATATATATATATATATATATATATATATGAAGCTCCAGTGCCTATTTACAAGCAGTAGTTTCGATCAATTGCGGTAAATATTTCCGATACTTGAAACTTACCGTTGTTTGTTATTGATTTTCTTACTTTTTAATTACTTACTTTACTTACAAACAACTGCTTGATATAAATATCACCGCAGCTTAAGTATATACCTAATGTTAATAAATATTCAATACCAATATACGTTTCTAAATTATATATGTATGTTTATATATTTTGTAAATTCGCAGTATAGAACGCTGTGTTCATTTTTATCCAATGGATATTTTAAATCTGAATCATATGGGTTTCTTGACTTTATAAAGTATATAAACGTTAAAATGTATATTTATAACATATTTGAACTATCATGCACATAACATGGTTAGAATTATATACAGTAGAACCTCCTTATTCGTGGGGGATGCGTTCTGTAAAAATGCCGCGAATAAAGAATCCGCAAATACAGGATGGCATTTTGTATGGGATTACGGGAATACGTTCCAAGATGACAAATAATCCGCAAATAATGAAAAATCCGCAAATACAGGATGGCATTTTATATGGGATTATAGGGTATACGTTCCAAGGTGTCAAAATAATGAAAAGTACATACATAAAAAACTATATTTTTATTTATATTTATAAATGCATTAGATTATTTACTTTATATATTTGATTTATTATATTATACATTAAACATTTTGATCATTTTTGTTCAGAAATAGGCAAAGATTTGAAAAACTTTGTAATTTTTTGTTGCTTGGTAGTTTTCAAGAGTTTCTCCAATTCAGGCTGATAAACGGCAGTCACATCTGCAATTTGCCTCTTAAAGAGAATACTTCTCTCCATAGATGGATCAATGTTCATAAAAAAATCACACAGATCATTTGCCATCTTTAAACCTTCACTGAGACTCTTTAAATTAAATGTCATGTTTTCAGTGTACGTTGAAGCCTCTTCTTCATTGGGTTGTGAATTTAACATTTCTTCCAAGTCGGTTTCAGACAAAAAGCAGCATTTACCACAGAAACGAACAATGTTAACCCTTTCGACTTTCGGATGCCGCTCGGTCCGGCGGCAAAATTCATATAGATCTCGAAATTCGCGAGTGGAAAGTGTTAAAGCATACATATACGATTCATTCATTCCCTGTTGGCTTACTTGATCTAAAACGCTGATAACGGAGAGGACGGCGAACGCAACGCAATTATAGGTCAAAAAGACGGCATTTACAAAGGATATTGGATTTCATATACACTGGAATCAGCGAATAACGAAATTTTTAGCCGCGAAGAAAGAAATCGGTCGCAATTTTTTTGGCCGCGAATAGCGAAAACGCGATTGAAGGAGTCGCGAATAAGGAGGTTCTACTGTACATGTATAAGACAAATTCCACCAAAAAGCTTTTATATAAAGTGTAGTTAATGTAACATAGCGTTCCATACCTCCGACTAACAGATACGCATATATATATATATATATATATATATATATATATATAGTTGTAATTTAAGATGTATATTTGAGGTTTTTTTTGCCACTTTTGGTTAAGAAACATTAATCAAATTTGCCTTTCAATGTATGCATTGAGTATTTGTTTTTATTTTTTTGCAATATTTGTTAGCTAAATCACTTTCATATACAATATGTATGAATTTTGAAGGTTTAATGACCATATTATTATATTTGTGCATATTATATAAAAAATAGTTGTTATTTTGTATGCGAGAAAGAGCTATAATTTGATTTATTTCTATTTAGTTGTGAATGTTAAAATGTAATGGTAAAATTATATCGAAATTTATTTTATATATTTTTTGATGTATCATATTTATCAAAATGACATGTGTCTATATCCAATCCCAAATACAAATCTTCATTTAATGTTTTAACACTTGCATCTACTATTATTAAAATCACATTTTTACACACTGTGTATCAAAATAATAATGCTAATATCCAGCACAAGGTAGTGGTTTAACAATCGCACTACACTGAATTCAAGTTTAGAAATTATTATAACATTGATTTATTTGCAGAAATCATCACTCGGATCGCCACGATTACAAATTCGGAAAAGTCTACCAAGCACGAATTCTGAAGATCTCGATAAACCCAAGTGTATAGATCAAAAGCCGCCTCCAATTTACGCGGAGCCCCACAAACCGAATCATTCAGCAATAGTGGATAAAACGAACATGGAATCGACGTTAGTTGTGGAAATAGAAACCCGCGAGAACGGCTGCGTCAGTAGCTCAGATGTTGTTGACGCGGGAAATGATAATGGCATTACATCTCCATCCCCTACAACAAGCGATCCTGGCGATCTGGATGACGCTACTGTAGAGATGAGAAGAAAAACCCATACGAAATCTCAGAGCATCAGCGATGCTCGTCTTATTGCTGAAATCGATGAGAACAACGTCAGCTTCAATCAGAATCGAGAGCTTTGGCAAATGCGTGCAAGTTCACAATCTTCTCACGGTTTGAACAAGACATTCCCAATACGTCACGCCGAATCTTGGGGACCAAAACGCACGGCTCCTGATTTGGTAATGGATTTACCGCTAACAGGCACTACTAGTCCTAAAGACAACAATAAGAAGACGCTCAGCGCTTCCACCGGATCCTTAAGCGATCACTCGTCTAGCGAGGAAGATACGACCAGCATTTGCACCGTCAAGATTCTAGAAAGTCCTGACATGAGCACGGCGGCTGAACGATTTGCAAAACAAAATCAATGCACTTTAAAAAAGAATACGAAAACTCTAGAGAAACCGAGGGCAGAAGTGAAACCGGTTGCCGTGTTGACTTGCGAAGATCCAAGTAGAAGTTTGGAAGGCAAGATAAGTCCTGTACCTCCGCACAACACGCAGAAATTTGTGAACAAATTTGCTGACTTGCACTTGACTGGTGGCAGCGCGATGTCCGTAAGTTCCACTTTCAAACCTCAGTTGAAAGTAAAACCTCATGTTCTAAGAAAACCTATGGTGATGTCGATGCCTCAGGTTCAAAGTTCGCCTGAGCTGTCAAGAAAAGCGAACAATCAAGACTAAAATATATTATCATAAAATTAGTACTTAGATTGACAGATTTTATTTTAATAACGTTTTTACAGTAGTATACTCTAAGTGACTGAATACATAAATTATCAAAGTTTTGATATTTTTTCAAAAAAAATGTTGATATTATATTATATATTATTTCCATAGCAGCTATAAGATTAATAGTATCAAGTCACTTACACAAAACGTATCAAATGATAAGTCTTAACATTCAAAACATCTATTTTTCCATGTCTATTTTATTAGGTATATAATCTTACAATTTTCTTTAAAGTGTGGAACATAAGGCAGAATTTGACTGTAGTTTTGTACGGGTTGAAAAAGTGATTCAATATTTTTTTTTATTAGATGCCTAATAAATGTTTTAACGATATAAACGTCTTATATAACTCTTGGAACTTATCCACTTTATTAAATTCGTTTAAGTAAATCATTTATTGATGTGCTTAATTATTGAATGCAAATATATTATGTATTTGAAATGAAACTATGCTATTAAGATCGTTAAATAAAAAATATTTTATTACAAAATTTTAATAGGACATGTCTAGTTAATTTTTAACATTTTTATCCTTAACTTATCTATATATTTTAAGATTATATATATTTAGCTATGATATTTAGTATTTGTCTATTAATTATTAATTTATTGCATAAAGCTGTTGTAATGTAAACTTCATTAATTTGACGTTCGACTTTATTCTTTTCCGCACTTACTGTATCAATAAACTTATTATTAAACATATCTAAATATTTGCCGCAGCTGTGTGCAATAAATGTACATGTTATAACATATTCATTAAATTATTTAATCGATGTGATGGATTAATACAGGAATAATATTGATTCAGTAAATTGTACTAGATATACAGCATGTAATAATACTCAATGTTTTAATTGGTGTCTTCTTTTTAATAACTAATGGCTTTGATCGTTCCATTTCGAACGCGCAACGAGCTAACCGAATGCTGATCTAAGACAATGAGCTGAAATTATCGACCAAATTTGATACTGGATAAGAAAGAAAGTTTGCTTTGTGAGATCAAACTGATATTTGTGCGGAAGTTCCGTTATGGTGTTCGCTAAAGTTTGTATGTAAATTTTCCCGAGGGATCAATTTGCATGATGAATGGCAAGATGAGAGTGTGAGAGTTTGTTTAATTTAGCGTTGCATTTTAGATTATATATTATATTATGAAAAATTTCTCATACAATAACTAGGTATATGTATCCTATGATGAATAAAATCATTTTGAATATTATGTCGATGTTTCCTCTAAATATTTTTGTTCTTGTTTTCATTATTGTTATCTATAACTTGAAATGAAAATCGATGTCACTACTGCTTGATCGAGGCGGGTATCGAACCTAAACCTTAGCTTAGAGTCTAAATCACTAGGACATGGGGATACGTTTATCAATTTCACAGGTCCACAAAACAAGTTGCTTGTATTGGGTATGCAATATATTTTTTCTAATATAGTTTTTACAACTGAACACGGATCTAAAGTCAAAATTGAGGCTCAATCAACTAAAAATGAAGAAAAACGGAAAATGATTTTCAATCAAAATGACTCATTTCAGTCACTTTAACAATAGAAATCATAAATTTTAATTATCATGCAGAAGAAAACCACTGTCGTCAAAATTACTGAGCGCCGTGACAGTTTTTTTTATCATTTCGTAGTAAAATGTAATACTACGAATACTACTACTAATAATATCGTTTTTTATATGGTTCTGTCTTTTTTTGCTTTACTTCACTAATTCTCCGTACCTTTTTTAGAAAAACAAAAGATTATAATGAACAAGTGTAAAAGATATTGTGAAAATATTGAATATTATATAGAAAATATTGTGCATAGGTTTATTTTAAGAATGAGCATTCTTTTTAACATACGGTCCGCATTTAATTTTTAAAATTTTATGGTAAGCCGAACTCATTAAAAATGTACAAAGCGTAATATATGTAAGGGAGCGTCCATTAATCACGTGATCGATTTTTTAGGTATTTTTTGACCCTTTCTCCCCCTCTAGAATTACCCCTTCCCTGCCCGACCAAATATTACGTAAAATTTTTCGAACAAATTATTCGAATTTGCGAAATAAAAGCAAAATTTTTATTTTTTTTTGAAAATCGAGGTAAAAATAGATACACGTAATATCTTACTAGACCCCTCCCTCCTCCACGTGATTTTTCATGATTTTTTGTCAACCCCCTCCCCCCCTTCTCCTAAAAACCTTCGTGATTATTGGACGCCCCCTAATATCTATACTATATATTATATACTAATAAAAAAGTAAGTATTTTATAAAATAATGCAATAAGAAAATAATACACTATAATTAATTTATTGATAGAAAAAATTGATGAAATAAATAATTTTCTACTTTAGAAATGCTTTTGGCGGGCCGCAGTAAAATATTTAAAGGGCCGCATGAAGCCCGCCGGCCACCGGTTGCTCTTTCTCTCTAGAATGGATTTTATTCTATTCGACGCTTCAATACGAACTGAATCATCGTGTATACAAACTAACCAGTGCCTCAGAGAACACAGCCGAGTGAAAAGGGTTAATTGTACCTAATGCATGCAAACAAAATTGATTTCACTGCTGCTATCAGATGTTTTCGCTTCGGATTCCATACTAGCCGTTCAAAGAGTGTTGGACACAATGAATACAAACAAATGATGACCTTGTTGGGGGCACCGCGCATGTATGCGCGAATTCATTCACATGAACCACTTCGGTTATTCCCGACAATCCGATTGAGGTGTCACTAAGCCAACAATGGTTCAAATAAGTTCGAAGTTTGGGCTGAATTATCTTTATCGATTGTATACAAATATTGCGCAATACGTTGAAACAATTAGTTAAATTCTACAGATATTGTGTTGAATGAGTAATTTAAAACTTTATCCATATCTAAATTTGATAAGACGTTGAAAAAAAACGTTTACAATATTGTAATAAAATACTATTAAATTTTGCATAATGGATCAAGCACCATTTTTAATTTATAATTGTTATTGCAAATATTTGTATTAATTGAATTCCAATATTTTCTCAGGGGTTTGGTGTAAATTGGCGAAGCCCCGTATCAAAAATTGTTTGCTGGCTGTCCCGAAGGGCAAGGGGGATCTTCATTAGATTCTAACCAGAGTCTTAATAGATTTTAACTGAATTCCGGTTAGATTTATATTAGGTACTAACTTTTTTTTATTAAACTTTACCAAACCCATTTCCGGGCCTAACTGGATTATTCTATATGGATTCTTGTTAGATTCTTATCAGGGTCTTAGCACATTCTAACTGAATAGGCCAAAACCTGGGTTGTCTTCTAAAAAGCTACGTAGGTAAGAAGTATCATCGCAACAGCTCATAGGACTAATAAGTTCTAATTGCTATTCAAATACATAAGAAATACATTAAATTAAAAAGAATGAGATAGGTTGGCGGGAAGGGTCAAAAAGTGCCTATAGGGATGGTAGTAAATCTAAAGATATGAGTTGTTCCTTGAAAAAAATAGTTATATTTGATTAAAATAATATTCAACTACCTCCTCAAATAGTATGTCTTCTTTAATTATGACATTAAATTGATTAACTTGAGATTTTATTTACGCATCGAGAAAAAAGTTTTATTTTGCAATATTATATTAAATTTTATGTCTTTTCGATCTTTTAACCTTCAACGAATGAGCGCATTATCTAAAACTATGCCCAGTAGTTCGACGGATTTTTAAGAAATTAAGTGCATCATTTCCATATCGAGAGAATTTGAATTTGAATAGAATTGTATTCCTCCAATATTGCTTGTACACCAATATTTAAATTATTTTCTAACTGCATTGTGCTCATAGTGAAAATTACAGAAAGAAAAGCTCAAAATTCTTCTGGGTAGCTTGTATGGGGGTAATCGATTATTTTAGAATATTAACAATGTCGCGGGTAAGGTGGCACTGGTGCGTTAAGTGTTAATATATTTTCATTTCTAAGGGACCGATTCTACCGCAATGCATGCCAATGTTATGGCAAGGCTATGTTACGTAGCGTTTTGAATATAAAATGGTACTAAAAACTGTCAAAACGCTATGTATTTGCTGCGGAATCAGATCATAAAATGTAACTTCACTCTTATGTTATTATGCCACATCACAAAGATGCACTTAATATAAGATTCTTTTTTGACGTTTGTGCGTACTCTAGGTTAGGTTTTATATCTAAAGCGTCTGACTGCACAGCAATAACGTAGCATTTTGACAGTTTTTGGTACCATTTTATATGAGAAGCGCTACGTAACATAGCCTTGCCATAACATACGGCAAAATCGGCTCATAAATGGCAAGTTTTCTGATTGGAGGATTAGTTTCTAACAATTTAGGGGGCGTCCATTAATCACGTGATATTTTTAGGGGGAGGGGGGGGTTTAACATAAAATCACGAAATATCACGTGGGGGAGGGAGGGGTATAGTAAGATATCACGTGTATTTATTTTTTAACTAATTTTTTTAAAAAAGTTCAAACATTTAAAAAAAATCAAAAAATTTACAGTTTTTTCACGTGACTAAAAATACACGTGATGTTTGATGGGGGAGGGGGGGTATTTTTGAATATCATCAAATATCACCAAAAGGGAGGAGGGGTCCAAAAATCCTTGAAAACTCGTTCACGTGATTAATGGACGCCCCCTTATTTTAATTTAATTGCTATAATATTTTAAACAAAGAAAATGAAATGTTCTACAAATGAGGATTCAAATACATTATTTACGAATCACCAATTAACTTAATCGTACCGAGTATGATAATGAATCAGTAAAATCAACAAATTAAAATAAGTGTAAGGTTATCAAGAATAACAAAATAATTCTAGCATTGACATGTCAATTTTCCTATTATCAAAAATACTATTGTTTCCATGTATAATAATCGATCGATGGCAAATATAACAAATATTCGTTCGTTATCAATGTTTCATTGTTTATACCTGTTCCCGTTAGCCGTGGCTCGGGCCTTAATAAATTTTATCGAACTGATAACCTAACGACGCAAAAGCCTCGAACGCTCACATCGAATTTCACAACACGACGCAAACCGGCGAACGCTTTCGGCTGACTTCGCTTCGTTGTACACAGACAGCGTTAGACATTCATTTCAATATTCGGCACTAAACCGAAGTGGTCAAATCTGTTTCTATTTTATATGTAGAAGAATCGTTTTATCAGTGGACAACTTTTAGTGAAGTGTAATGTCTTTTCGTGAAACAATAAAAAACAATTTCAACAAAATCAAGTCTGTCGAAATGCCGGCCTGTTCTGAAAATATCGGGATGCGGTGCATCAAAATAATGCTGTTGATGGTTAACATCTTGTTTCTGGTAAGTACAAATCAGTTTTGTTAAATTATTGTTGTAAATAATGACGCCATTTTTCATGAAATGGATCACCAATACAATGTTAATAATATATTAGTATATGTCATATGTCATTCTCTTAGCCAGCTGTTTCATCGTGGTTAGAATAAATAATTTATGTCATTGATTGTGTTTGATGTTGTTGATGATATTTGGATCTAATTCAATTGATACAATTTCTATTAAAATAAAAGCGAATGTTCTTTTAATAACCTATCAAAATTATTAAAACACGTTAAAATTTATATTCTGAAATCAATTACGCATATTAGATTTATATTGGTACAATTATTATTATGTCTGACGATCTTTCAGTCTGTCAGTCTGTCTGTCTGACCATTTGACCATTTGTCAGTCTGTCTGCCTGACTATGTTGTTGTCACTACACTCCAACAATTAGACCTGCAAATCTGCATAATTAACTTCCCGTAGGGCAAGTTATAGTAATCGCAAAAAAATCGAAAATGAAAATTTTTATATATCTTTATGTTTCAAAACCTACTGAACATTTTGGCATACCTTAGAAAAAATGGATGTATATGTGTGTGTGTATGTGTGTTTGTGTGCGTGTGTGTGTGTATGTGCGTGTATGTGTGTGTGCGGATACAAATTTTCGTCGACGATTTCGGGAACACGGATCAACCGATTTGAATAATTCAAAAAACATTCGAATCGTATTGATAAGGAGACGTGCTGATTAGTTTTTGGCGAAGGCAGGTCTAGCCGTTCCGTAGATATGGGGCAAAAAGTGCCAAAAACGGTAACTCAGTTTTTGAGAGAACGGGGCGTCCGATTTGAATAATTCAAAAAACATTTTACTTGTATTAACAAGATGAAAAACTGATCAAATTTTCATGAAGGCAGGTCTAGCGGTTTCGGAGATCTAGTAAAAAAAGTAAAAAAATGTCATTTGGCGGTCAATAAATGATCATTAGACATATGCACTCAAATTATCAGATATTTTATAGAGATTTTAACAATAAGTATAAATTTTGTTTACATTCCTATGGGTTCCGTACCAATGTTTACGCGTTAGACGGCGACGCGGCGCTTACGCGCTTCGATATTTCGTCTTTATGCAGTTGAACCAGTATGATTGCTTTGAAAAAAAGTTCAGAATTTCCAAAATATTTCAAAATAAATGATTTAAGATAGAATGATTTAATATGGTTCGAAATTTCATTAAAAGTTTCAAATCATTGATCAACTTTTATTGATTATTATTGATTATTTTTAGTTACTCGAATTTTGAATTGAGGTACGGGAAGTTCCAGCAATTTGCCTTAAGGCACGATGCCATAATTGCCTTAAGACCGAATTCCACTTGCAGCTAGTTATATAATTATTTTTTTGTTAACTTCCCGTAGGATAAGTTATTGTAATCGTCCAAAAATCGAATTTGAAAATTTTTAGATTTCTTCACGTTTTGTAGGTTTCTGAACATTTTGGCATACCTCATTGTCAGAAAAAAATTGATGTGTGTGTGTGTGTGTCTATGTATGTATGGATACAATTTTTTGTCCACGTTTTCGGGCAAGGATCAACCGATTTGAATGGTTCAAAAAACATTCGATTGCTATTGTTAGGGAGATGTGCTGATTAGTTTTTGGCAAAGGCAGATTTAGCCGTTTCGGAGATAGGGAGCAAAGAATGCAGAAAATAGAAATCGAGTTTTTGAGAGATCGGAGCATCGGATTTGAATGATCCAAGAAACATTCAGTTCGTAATGACGGGAAAAAGTGGTTCAATTCGTAATAACGGGGAGAAGTTGTGATTAGTTTTTGGCAAATGTGCAAAACATAGCAGCTTTTGAGAGAACTAAGCGTCCGATTTGAATGATTCCAAGAACATACTGCTTGTTCTAACAAAATAATTGCTTTTGGAAAAAAAATTTTTGTTTTAATTTTTTTTTTTCAAAAAATATTTTTTTTTGTATATCGAAAATCATTCAGATTTTATATTTAATTCTGACTATAGTTTTAATATACTTCAAACAAATAATTTCAACTTTGAATTCAGTTTATATAAGACGATGTTACAGTAATTATGATAATCTATTTGAAAATATTCAGTATTCCTCGAACATTTCGTTACGGTATGGGAAGTTCCAGCAATTTGCCTTAAGGCACGATGCCATACACACCACTAGTTTGAAACTTTGTTCACTTTGGTGAATGTTGTCTTTTTTCTTACCGAACTAATTGACTAATTAAGCAACACAATATACAACATAAAACTAAATATAATGATATTGACTATAAAAGTGTTTGGGGAATGACCGGTAGACAATGTGTGTGCGATTTGCAATTCAATATCTTTTTATCCCTTAAAATATAATTCCCACGAATAGTTCTAAATTGTTATTATAACACTTTATTTACACAAATATGAATAAATACAAACTTTAATAATAACAATGGCGCGCCTATCCAATTGATATAAATACAGTCATTGTTTATTATACAATTGTATAATAAACTATAATTGTAATGCATTGAAATTTGTTTTTAAAATATAGTGTTGGATTTCTTTTATTAACTTCCCGTTTGGTAAGTTATATTGAAAAACAGAAAACGAAAATTTTTATATATCTTTACGTTTGAAAGGTTTCTGAACATTTTGGATTATACACACATAGGAAAAAAATTATATGTAGGTGTGTATTTGCGGATACAAATTTTCGTCTACGATTTTGGGATACGGATCAACTGATCCTGAACAATCCATAAAACATTCGTTTTGTATTTATGGGGAGACGTACTGATTGGTTTTTGGCAAAGACAGATCCAGCCGTTTCGAAGATTACGAGGAAACAAGTGCAAAAAATGGAAATTTAGTTTTTGAGAGAACGGAGCGTCCGATTTGAATGATTCAGGAAACATTTTATTTTTAATGACGAAATGAAGAACAGATAATTTTTGGAAAGACAAGTCCAGGGGTTTCAGACATCCAATAAGAAAAATAAAAAAAATATGCCATTTGGCAGTCAAAAATGATTATTAGATATATGCACATCAAATTATCAGATACTTTATAGATATTTTAATAATTAATACAAATTTTGTTTACATTTCTATGGGTTCCGTACCAATGTTTACTTGATAGATTACGACGCGGCGCTTACGCGCTTTGGGGCCGTTCAAGTATTATGTAAGCACTATAGGGGGGCGGGGGGGTTATTGATTTGCTTATTTTTGTGACATTTTGGTGACAGATTTGCTTACTTTTGCTGTCAAAGGGGGAGGGGGGGTAAATAATTGTACTAAATCTGCTTACGTAATACTTGAACGATCCCTTTGATATTTTGTTTCTAAAACACCTACGCAACGCGATTGCTTTGAAAAAGAGTTCAAAATATAAAAAAATAAAAGTTTAGAATAAAGCCAATTTTTATTCAAAAATTTCAAAATTCTCAAAAATTTAATTTTTTAGTTTTCAGATAAGTTTAAAGCTTTTTTAAAAATTTTAGTTTTCGACAAGGGAAGTTCCAGCAATTTGCCTCAAGGCACGATGCCATGCATTACGAGTTTATTGTTACAACAGCAATCAGAAGTACTGAGAATTACATTGTCCTAGTATTTGCTAGTTTTAAAACTTAATCTGATATTTTTAACAATTCGTTAACCATTCTATATATAAACTATATATTCTTTATACAAGAATTTTTGCCATTATATTACTATCGCCCCAAGCCATAAAGTTGTTATAAATTCCAAGTCAAAATAATATTTCTGAGAATGTTTTATGTACTGATAACATAGCCATATGTACTTGCTTGTGTTGTGTACTTGTATATAGTAGATAAGCGATTTGTATAGGTTCGAATTCAATTCGAATATGTTTTGCTCTTCAAAGTGATGGAGCTAAGTCGAATTTTGTAGAAATTGTTTTATTTCATTGTTTATTTTGCACTTGCCGTAAAAGCACCCGTAAAAGTATTACGGGTATTTTTTACCAGAATTGTGCGAAACAAAACAGATTTAATTTATTTAAGACCATCTACCAGGTGAATTTTTGCAATAATTTTCTTCTTATTTTTTTATATAACCTCGCTACCGCCAAAGCCTGACATCAGCTTCAAGTAAAAATCGTCTTTCATGCATATAGTTACATAAACATAATAAAAATGTCAGCAAATACTTGGAGTATAGTTAATTAGTCATAATTGGATTCGACAACTACTGGGTTGCCATTCATTCAAAAATCCATATAATAAAGTCAAAACAATTTTTGAAGTGTGACAGATTGTAATTAAAAAAAATTATATAACCTTACAATAAACTTTTATTTATTGTTTGAACAGCAATCAGAACTTAAGGGTTCTGTAAACTGTTGTGCTGATTTGACTTACTACGTCGGTTTTTGCAGTTGTCTTGTATCTGTGTGATGAGTTTTATTATTACCCATTTCTGTAGTAGGGCAAATTGATGCAGCAATACCGGATCAGTACTATTTTTCAACGTTTGACATCCATCGAGGATGGTGCATTCGAACCTCGTTCTGGACAACCTTATATCGTGCAGTAGCGATGTCCAACTTGAAAATAGCTCACTTTGGGCACTGCGGCGTGGAATGGCAATGGGAAATCTCTCACAATTCTTCCCTGAACTGAGTTCGAGATTAAATGAGTTCACGGACCTGCCTTAGTACAGTACTACCCATATACAATGATACCCCGCATTACGTACTTAATTCGTTCCGGGAGAAAATGAATGAAAATAAAATGAATGAAATTCATTCTGTAGTTTGAAATATGGTCATATGAAATAAGATAAATTTTACATATTATTAAAACATTTAAAAAAATATTACTAATTTACGAAATAAGTTGTTATCAGAGTGGTACTGCTTCCTTTTTTGCACTTTTAGCTTCTGAATTTTTAAAGAAACTGCCGATAGTTGTTTATTTTATTCTTCTTTAAGACCTACCGCAAATGATAGATAAACTGGTACCAATTTCTGAT